CACTAAGATATGGTACTTCAGGACCAAGTAACTCTTCATTCTTTTCTTGAGGTCGGAACAGATCCTTATTCACATCAAATGATCGAACAACCATCGGAGTACTTAATGGATGTGCTTCATCCATGTAAAATTGTTTCAATACCTTTTCTGTGTAGGCAGATTGATGAACAAAAATCTCGTTTGCCAAATATTCAATTTGCAAACCGAGACATAATATTGTCTTTCCGAGATCTTTCATCTAGAATTTCTTCTTTAAATAATCAATTGCCTTTTAGAGTTCTGTAGGAGTTCCAATAAGGTTTATGTCATCGACATATACGCAAGTACAATAAAATTCCGATGTTGTTTTTTTTATAAAAATACATGGACAAATGCCATCATTTATATAACCTTCATTTAATAAATACTCACTAAGACGGTTATACCACATTCATCTTGATTGCTTTAGACCATACAAAGATCTTTGCAATTTGATTAAAAATATTTTCCGGGACTTTGAATTATGTGCGTCAGGCATTTTAAATCCCTCAAAAATTTTCATGTATATCTCATTATCAAGTGAGCCATAAAGGTAGGCTGTAATCACATCCATAAAATGCATGTCAAACTTTTCATGGACAACAAAACTAATGAGATAACGAAATATTATTGCATCCATAACAGGTGAATATTTCTCTTCATAATCGACATTAGGCCTTTGTGAAAATTCTTGTTCAACAAGGCGTGCCATATATCTTTGTACCTCATTTTTCTCATTTCTCTTACGTACAAAGATCCATTTATAGCCAACAGACTTAACACCATTAGGTGTTGGACTACAACCCCAAAAACTTCATGTGTCGCAAGTGAATCCAACTCAGATTGGATTGCTTCTTGCCATTTTGGTCAATCATGTCTTTGTCGACATTCTCCAATAGATTGAGGTTCAAGATCCTCACTATCTTGTATAATGCTAGATGCAAAATTATATGCAAAGACATAATCCACCACTATATCTAATCGATTCAAATATGTCTCAATATCGATTGGATTTATTGATAATTCCTTATTTTCTTGAGTCTCGGGCTCAGTGATTTCCTCATGAATCTCAGGATTGGTGAAATCGTGGATTTCTTCATGAGACTCTTTTATAGTATTATCTTGATCATTTATTTTCTTTTTTCTAGGATTTCGATCCTTAGAACCCAATGGTCTGCCACGTTTTAGGCGTGCTTTTGACTCATTAGCTATGACACTAGAAGATTGTCCAACAGGGACATCAATACAGATTCGAACATTCTCTACAGGGATATGTAATTTTGTTATCTTTTTCAGATCCATAAATACATCTGGCATTTGATTTGCTATTTTTTACAAATGGATAATCTTTTGCGCCTCTTTTTCACAAATAGAGGCACGTGATAAGACAATGATGGATTTTTTCACAAAATTTTCCGTTGGGTTTCACCAATTTCTCCCCCTAATTTTGAAAAAATGCCACATCGAATCGACAATCTACAAATCGAGCAGTGAACAAATTCTCCGTTAATGTTTCAAGGTAGCGAATAATGGAGGGCGATTCAAACCCAACATATATTTCTAGCCTTCTTTGGGGACCCATTTTGGTGCGATATGGCGGTGTTACAGGCACATATACTACGCATCCAAAAGTTCTTAAATGGGATATATTAGGTTCATAACCCAAAATTAATTACAACGAGGAATAATTATGATAATTTATCGGCTAAGACGAAGTAGCATTATTGTATGCAAAATGGCGTGACCCCAAACAGAAGTGGGCAACCTCATTTTCATGAGTAACAGTCTTGCTATGAATTGCAGACGTTTAATTAAAGACTCTGCAAGGCCATTTTGAGTGTGGACATGAGCTACAGGATGTTCCATTTTTATCTCAATTGATAAGCAATAATCATTAAATGCTTGGGATGAAAACTCAGCAACATTATTAAGTCGAATAGACTTAATTGGATTATCGGAAAATTGTGCCCGTAATCGAATTATTTGTGCCATTAATTTTGCAAACGTGAGATTGCGAGATCATAATAGAAACACATGAGACCATCTAGAAGATGCATCTATTAATATCATAAAATATCCAAACGACCCGCTAGGTGGGTGAATAGGTCCACAAATATCCCCTTGTATACGTTCCAAAAATACAGGAGACTTAATTCCAACATTTGTTGGTGATGGTCTAATAATTAACTTTCCTTGACAACAAGAAGTGCAGGAAAATTTATTATTTAAAAGAATCTTTAAATTATTTAATGGATGCCCATTTGAGTTTTCTACAATCCGTCTCATCATAATTGATCCAGGATGTCCCAATCGATCATGTCAAAGTACAAAAGTATTAGAATCAGTAGCCTTTTGGTTTACGATAGAATGTGCCTCAATTGCACTAATTCGTGTCCAATACATGCCACGAAATAAAGATGGGAACTTCTCAATAACTCTTTTCTGGCCAGAGACATTTTTGATAACGATGAGATATTCAAGATTATTCTCATCTATTGTCTCAATATGATATCCATTTCGGTGGATATTTTTAAAACTCAACAAGTTCCTCTTGGACTTGGAGGAGAACATTGCATTATCTATTATAAGTATTGTTCCCATATGTAGAGTTATAGTAACTCTTCCAGAGCCTTCAATTAAATTACTACTACCAGAAATTGTAATAACATCTGCCTTACACATATTTAAATGAAAAATATTTCTTCTCTTTGAATATTGTATGTGTCGTACATGAACCAATTAAATAAATATTTTTACAATTGAACTTTGATCCAAGTTTGCTTTATGAGATATCCATATTTGCTTAGTCTTCTTTCAGACTTATTATATATTGCTACCACATTCTATTAAGGGAATGAGAATGAAGTAAATCCAATGGGACGGGTTTCCAATTCTTGTGCTCATTATCATACATGAATTTGATCATGGCAAGACATATAAATTTTACCACTTCGGGTGGTTATAATTTCTCACAAACTCTATTAGAGTTATAATTAAAATTTATTGTCTTTGCTTGTATTTAAAATCAAATTATAGAATTTCAAGAATTTAAAAGAGAAAAATAAGGTAAAATACTTACCTTAAATCCAGAATTTATTCCTTTAGGAAGTTCATGGAATAATTGACAATCGCTATGCTCAATAATTATGTAATAAGTTGAGCACCATGCACGTATCCCAAAGCCTGGTGACCAAAGCAGATGCCTAGCATAGGAATATCAATGCATTCACGCAAGAGCCTCACGCAAATTCCAATATCTTCTCTCCATGGGTGGTTTAATTTCTCAAACATTAGACAACTAATTAATAGTATATTTACAAATTAAAACAACCGCCTCTACTCAATTGGTTGGAGTCTTGTGCCGATAACGTGTTATAAAACAATAAAAGAAGAAGAAGAGTATTGCAGAGAAAAGTAGCGAGAGAGAATTCTTATTGATTTGGGATGAATTACAATGGAATAGAACCCCTCTATTTATAGGGAAAAGTGACTTAGTCACAAAGTAACAAACCTTAAAATCTCTCTAAAATATAGACATTTACCTTAAATAAAATTCTATTTATAACAAAAAGGATATTATTTAATTTTTATGACTCTTCACGTTAGAACTGTTGTTTATTTATTACGCTAGCTTCACCTTATAGTATTGAATAAATACTTAACAAAGTTGCCAAAAAAATATAGGAATAGGGAAAATAATTGAAAGCCTCTTATCCTTTTTTTTGTGTTTATTTAAATGATTAAAATACTACACAGAGAATTCAAAGTGGCATGTGTATAATTGATTTCAAAATAAGCAATATTTTCTCAAGGTTTGCAGCGCGTGAAATAGTAATTTAACGTTAAATAGGAGACTTGGTTCAATTGCATTCAAAAATACCTATGAAGAATATGAAGAATAACAACTATGAATAGTAATCAGTTATAATTCCATAATTACAAAATAAGAACTCCTTAACCTAAAATACCATATGTGGAAACAGTAATTTCCCAGTTTTCCTTTAAAGAATGTTCATGATCAAATAGGAAAAGAATTTATATAAGGTTAAATCAAAATTGTTTTTACAATTTTAAATATTATGAGCTCCAGAAAATATTTAATAAATAAAATTTAAGATAGTTCACGAAATATTATCAATTGCAATTGAAAATAATAATTTACAACCCTTCTTTATATAGTAATAGAGTTAATAAATTTCAATTAGAATGAAGAGTGAATAGTTTTGTGGCTTTACTCTTTGTAACCTAAAATTCTATAACCGAACAAAGAATACTCCTAAGCGTAGTTGAAAGTTCTCGAAGGATTTGATAACTAAATTTACAAACTTTATTTATTAGTTATTCTTTTATAAGTTGAAAATTAAATAAGAAATGATTTAATACATAAAATTTAGTTGATTTTGAAGTCTTAAATATTAGGAAACTAATTAAATTACTATTTCTAAAAATTAGGAAAATAGTTTAAAATATATTTTTAAAGGGTAAAAAAAGGCGAACAATATTTTTAAAGGGTAAAAAAGGCAAACAACATTTCGTTAAAAAATTTCATGCTTTTAATATAATATATATATATATATATATATAGATAGATAGATTAGAAGTTAAAGACATTTGTAAAATATAAAAAAAAATTCCCCTATGAGACTGTCAACCGTTAAACCCGTATGAATGTGGAATCCCAAGAAATCTACTTTCACTGAATTACGTGTAAAATAAATGAAAAACTGAATCACAAAAAAAAAAACAAAAAAACAAAACAAAAAAACAAAACAAAAGGAATTACAAGGCGTCCCTCTCAAGAAATCGTCAAATGCCTTTCTCTTCCTAAGTTTTACCCAATCTAAATCGCCGTCACCCTTCATAAACCTCACCCCAC